AACAAGAATGGGCGCTCTGCTAATTCTTTCCTCATTTTAATCATCTCCGAATGTGAACTAGGGTCAAGGAGAGGAACCGGGTAATAAATAGGGCGAGGCGGGCATGCAGGCTACTAAGGTGAGGAGTAACTTTACTGGAACTTTTTTCTTTCTGGAAAAAAATCTCTTCAAAAGGTTCCTAGATTAAAGCTCCAATCTCCCTTTTTGTACGTTGAATTCTGAATTCAGAAGCTTGCTGGTTGGAGGGAGCACAGACAATTTTTTTTTTAAGTCCCAGGAACTCAGAGACTCAAAGGTTTGAAAGTCCTGCACCTATGGTGAATTGCCGGCTGAAAGGGGCCGGAGCAGAGCCGGGCCCCGAGGTGTGGAGACCATTGTCATCAAGAGTAAGAGAATGAAATGGCTCTGTATGTAGGTCAATGACCCCCTCTCTACTGAAAGGTAAAAGAAAAAATTAAGGATGACCTACAATCTACCTTGTATAAAAAGATTCTAGAGAAAGTAGCTCTCTCTTTCCTGTCAAGGTGATAATGTTTATACTATGTGCAGCCAGACCTCCCCGGACTCAGACTTTGGGGGACTCTGAAAGCTAAAAAGCGCTGGTCAAAACCTCAAGCCCTTTCTGACATCTATTAACGTTTTGTTCTTCAAAGTATTGGAGGTATCGTTGGAGGCGTGGCCCGTGGAATCTGGCAGCATTTTCATTCTAATCAGTGAGATGGAAGGATTCCGAGGTGCCTAGTTCTGCCTGATCTTCTGCTGTGTTCGCCACTTACCTTAAACTTTTCCCCAATAACCAGGATTTAAATGAGCCAAGGCTGTCAAATTAAATGGATAGATTCACAGAGAGAGACCACAGACACAGAAGAGAAAATGAGCAGAAAAAGAAGAAAGAGGGGGAGGAGGAGGAAGACAAAAGAGATTTCACAGAGCCCCATTTTAATGCAAAGGCACTTCAAAGGTCCTTATTAAACAATGTCCCAGACCTGTGTGATTTTTGAAAATCCAGCAGAAGCTAGAAAATTAGCCTCTGTTGCATAGTATATGAGCTGAGGAGCTGTCATGGTCTGCGTAAGCTTCTGCCCTTATGATGCCTAAATGAATTGACCTGCTTTAGGGAAATTGTCAGGATTCACGCTACAAATGCTGAGTCTATGTTGCATTCTCATTTCTTAATAAAAAGCCATATTTCCCCAATACGATTTAAGTGGGAGTTGGAGTTCCAGGCATGAAGTCAACTTGATTTAAATTTTTTAAAAAAAATATATTTTATTGATTCTTTACAGAGAGAAAGGAAGAGGGATAGAAAGTTAGAAACATCTATGAGAGAGAAACACTGATCAGCTGCCTCTTGCACACCCCCCCACTGGGGATGTGCCCACAACCAAGGTACATGCCCTTGACGGGAATCGAACCTAGGACCTTTCAGTCCACAGGCCGACACTCTATTCACTGAGCAAAACTGGTTTCGGCCCAACTTGATTTTTAAAACTCTTTTTATTTTTAAACTATTCTAGATTTACAGAAGCGTTCCAAAGCTAATACGAACAGTTCCCAAATACCCTTCACCCAGCTTCCCCTAAAGTTAACCTCTTAGAATATGGTACATTTGTCAAAATTAAGAACTAAACATTGGTTCAGTGCCATGAACTGAACTGACATCAAGATTTCTTACCGAGCCAATAGCCAACACCATGTGGTACTGGTGTCACAACAGACAAATACGTCGTCGTCGGTGAAATAGAAGAGACTAGGGAGGAATGTGCTGCCATGGAGCCCTGGTGAGCTGGCCTGTATCCACATGGGCCACACAAACAAAGGCTTGAACCACCGCTGATCTGTGTCCCGGCAGAACACCCATGATCCTCTTGGGCAGGAGGCTGGCAAGGAGCTGCTCAGGGGCCGAGGGCCACTGGCTTCCCTGTGCCTCCTGGGAGGTGTTCGGGAGACAGTTTCTCATCACCTCCTGGGTTCTCATGAGGTTTGAGACTTCCTGCCTCGCCCCCCTCAGAATACAGCTGCAGACTATAAAACCGCTCAGCTGAAGTCTAGATTTGGCTGCTTAGCAACGGGGTCACTACGACTCAGATTATCACCAACTGGTCCCCTTTGTTTAGGTGTGGTCCTTTGTGGTGTGTGGGACAAGGACCGTGAGGAACTGGCACCTTTGACTATTCTTTTCACTGTTTATGTAAGAGATAAATGGTCTGGATCAAACCTCGGGACTTTATCTGTTGAATTGGTCAGACCTTGCCCTGTCTTGTGTGTACTTGACAAGAGTCCAGAAATAAACCCACACATACGTAGTCAGTTGATTTTCAACAAAGGTGCAAAGTCAATTTAGTGGAGAAAGGAAAGGCTTTTTGACAAATGGTGCTGGCACAATTGGATATCCACATGCAAAACAAAAAAAACCAAAAACCAAAAACCTCCAATCCATCAATCGATACCTCACACCATAGTCAGAAATTAACTCAAATTGGCTGATAGACTTAAATGTAAAATACAAAATTATAAATTTACTGAGGAAAACATAGAAGGAAATCTTTGTGGCCATGCAAAGGTTTTTCTAGATAAGATAGCCCTACACAAATCCTAAAAGAAAAAAATTGATAAGATGGATCTCACCAACATTAAAAACTTCTGTTCTTTAAAAGACATTTTTAAGAGAAGAAAATAGAATCCAGAGATGGACAGGCCATATTTATAAATTGCATGCCTGACAGGGGACTTGCATCCAGGGAATGTAAAGAAATCTCAACATTTAAGAATAAAACAAACAACTCACTTTTTAAGATGGGTACAAGAGCCCTGGCCAGTGAGCTCAGTGGTTAGAACACCAGCCAGAGCATGGAAGGGTTATGGGTTTGACTCCTGGTCAAAGGTACATACCTGGGTTGCAGGTTTGATCCCAACCCCAGTGGGGGCACCTGCAGGAGGCAATCAATTGATGTGCCTTTCTCACATCAGTGCCTCTCTCTCTCTCTGTCTCTTTCTTCCCCCACCCCCCACTTTCCTCCCTTTCACCCTCTCTAAAAATCAATGGGAAAAAATATCCTTGGGTAAGAGTAAAAATATATAAATGAATGAATGAATGAATATGAATAAATAAGTAATATGAATAAAATGGGCATAAGACTTGAAAAGGCACATGGTCGCCAAAGAAGACATATATGTGGCAAAGAAGCACATGCAAAGACGCCCAGCATCCGTTGTCATTAGGGAAATGCCACACACAACCACACACCTAGGGCATGTCTGCAGTTAAAGAGAGACCCTACCAAGTTCCGTGAGGGTGTGCAGCAACAAGGCCTCAGACATTGCTGGTGGGCCCGCACGATGGCATGGCCACTTTGGAAACTCGCTTGGCAGGCTTATGAAAGGTTATCTCTCAATCACATCACATGACCCCGCCATTCTAAGCCTAGGTACTTCCCCGGGAAAAAAATGAAAGCAAATACCCATACAAAGCCTGGCACACAGATGGTCATGGCCAGCTTTATTTGTAACAGCCTGAAGCTGGAAACAATTCAGTGCCTTTCAACACATGAATGGAGAAACACACCATGGAAGACCACTCAGCAGCGACGAGGAGTGAGTTATGGACACACACAACAATATGATGAATCTCAAAGTAACTATGATGAGTGAATGAAGCCAGACAAAAAAAAAGGGTACATTCCACTTATATAGGATTCCAGCAAATTCAGACTGACCTCTGGTGACAAAAAGCAGATCAGCGGGATAATGGAGGAGGGGGGCTGGGACATAACAATGGGGTAAGGGAACCTTTTGACTGTGACGGGTGTGGTCATTCTTGATCATAGGGATGGTTTCGCGAACACACAGATGTCTGTCTAAATTTATCAAATTGTACACTTTAAACACAGGCAGCTTATGGTATGCAGTTACCCCTCCATTAAGCAGTTCCTAAAAAATACATGGGAAGAACACTGCTTCCTCCAGTCCCTCTCAGGGCCCCTGGTGGCCTGCTGTCTTGCTGAGTCTCTGTTCTGAACTCAGGTGACATTAGCAGGTGGGGCCTTGTGACCCGGAGCCCAGTAGGAGTGCCCGCCTGCACTTCATACGGTGATTTTATTTAATCCTCACCACAGAGGCAGAAGGCCAAGAAATGACAACCCCCAGGGCAGGGGCTGGAACATTTTGACTAAAAGAAATGTCAAGATGACGCACTGCAAGCCGAGAAACCAAACATAAATCCTGCGCAATGACAGGGTGGCTCACAGCTTCTCTCTCCCGAGCCTCCTGGACCCCGTGGGCACAGACTCTGCAAGGACAAACTGAGGGGCTGCACGCAGCGGCGGCTGCAGAACCTCCCGAACCCCAACCCCTGGGCGGGTAGGTGGGCTGGGGCCCGCTGCTCCCCGAAAAATGCCAGGCCCCAGCTCTGCTTCCTAGAGGAACCGCGAAGCCCCGCCCGCCCGAGGAGCTAGCCATTGATGTCACACTGTGACAATTATTCTGCATAAAATTATCATTAAAAACTCTAATTTTTCAGCTCCCAACCCCGCCAGTGGCCTTTTAGCATTCTCCAGCGCCGTGTCGGAGGGCCGTGATCACCCCGCTCATTAACCCGGCGTGGCGCCCCCCGCTCGCGCTCGCAATCAGGGCTAATGACACCCGTGTGCGCGGGGGCGGGGCCGAGCGGGGTCCAGGGGCCCGGAGTGGGGGCGGGGGGCGGGGCGGGTCCGGGAGTCTGGGAGTCCGGGTCCGGGGTGGGATCTGGGCAGGAGAGGGCGGTGTGGCCGCTATGGGTTCTGATGGTCAGTGAGAGGCCGTGCAAGGTTCTGGGCTTGGGTGGGGACAGGGCGCGGGAGGTGTCAGGGGTCCCTGTTCAGGCCCAGAGGCTCCAAGGTCCGGGGGTTGGGGCGGGGCGGGGCGTGGGTGGAGGGGCGTGGCCGGCGGCGGTAGCAGGAGCCCTGGCGGCCCGGTGGGTGGCGGGTGGTGGGTGCTGGGTGCTGGGTGGCCCCGTCACTCACCCCAGCGAGGCGGCCGTGCGGCAGAGGTGCAGGGGAGCCAGGCCCTCGGCGCTGAGCAGGTCGGGGTGGGCGCGGTGCTGCAGCAGCAGCCGGGCGCAGGCCGTGTGGCCCCCCAGGCAGGCCTCGTGCAGGGGCCCTCGACCTCCGGGGCAGGTGGCCCACGCAGGCCGCATGGCCTCGGGCTGCCGCGATGCACAGGGGCGTGGTGAGCTCACGCGTGTACTCCAGGGTCCAGAGACCTGGAGGAGGGGTGGGGAGAGGTAAGGTGAGTGGGGAGCACTGGCGGAGGCCCTGTCCATTAGGCTGAAATAGGGTGAAACCATCTCTTGAGAGGGCGTGTGGGGGTATACAAAGTCGTAGGGGGCTGGGACAGAGAAAGCCATGAGATCCAGGCAGACACACAGATGAGGGAGAGGTGGAGTGGCTAGGGAGACTGAGGGGAAAGGACAAACCCAGAGAGGGGCAGAGAGATACCTATAAGGTTCTTCCTCCTCCCAACTGGTGGGCAGAGTTATGACATTACTGGCATCTGTCACAGAGACATCTCCAAGACATTCTTACAATACCAAGGGAAAACAGAAGTGTAGGAACAGGGGGGAGGAGAGTACACACACACACACACACACACACACACACACACAAACAAATAGAGCAGAGAAACAATGGGGGTGACTGGAGGAGTTAAAAGATGACCAAACAGGGTGGTCAGTGGGACAATTTAAAAAAATTTTTTTAATTGATTTCAGAAATGAAGGGAGAGGGAGAGATAGAACCATCAATGATGAGAGAAAATCCTCTATTAGCTGCCTCCTGCACGCCCCCTACTGGGGATTGAGCGGGCAACCTGGGCATGTGCCCTGACCTGGTTCATAGGTTGACACTTAACCACCGAGCCACGTGGGCCAGTCATTGTGGGACAATGTAAGTGAGGAATTCACATTTTCCAGGCTCTGATTGAGGGTAGCTTAAAGGAGGCAAGTGAGCTGCGGATTTTTCTGGAATCCAGCTCTCTCTCACCCAGCCCCTTACGTACCCTGTATCATTAAGAGGAGAAGGCGGCAGACAAAACAAACTGACCCACAGCACCCACGTTGCTCAAGAAAAGGACTCGAAAAGTTTAGCCCCCTTGGAAGTGGCGAGTTTCAGAAGCGCACTTTGATGTGGTCGGCCACATTCGGCACAATTCTGGTTTGTTTCTCTGTGCTTTTTAGGGTTTTGTGTGTGCGCGCGTGTGTGTGTGTGTGCATGTGTATAGATTGCTTTCTCTTGCAGGATGAATGGAGCGGCACCATACATTTTACTTCTCTGAAAACTTTGGGCTTTCAAAAGGCCCGTGGAAGGTTGTTAGCAGCCAGGAGTGCTCGTGGAAATGGAGGAAGCAGTCCCTGGCGAATACACTTCAAGGGACAGGATTTCACATGGCAGGAATGCCTTCTGGTAACGATGGAAGAATCGATACCGTGTCTGTAATGAGCTGTGGAGGAGACCCTTTCACAGGCCACCTCCTTCCTGGGACCCATGCTGCGCAGTTTTGAAAGGCCACTCATAATTACCTTCCTGCAGAGTCCCGGCCGCCCCGCGGCCCCACGCCCAGCCTGGAGGTTGTTGCATGCTCCATGGGATGGTGTGGGGGCCTGTGTCCTGTGGAGGATGACGGTGGCCTGAGGCCCAGGGGACGTGGCCAGCATGGGTTTGGACTGCTTTCCCAGCAAAGACTGTGTCTGATTTGGAGCCGGGAGGACGGGTATAGTCCTTGATGACAATGAGCTACATTCCTGCAGGGCCAGCCCCCGCTTCTGGACTCTACTCATTTCTCTGTGGCAGGAAACCTACTTACCGAGGGGCTAGGAAGTGGGTGCTCCATTCTCCAGGGCCTGCGGAGTTCTCAGCCCCCTCCCCCTCCCTCAGCAGCTCCATTCGCCTGTCCCGATGTCCAGGTCTTCCCGTGGACCTATGGGAAGGGGCCGTGGTGGGCATTTAGCTCAGCCCTAGATGAGGGCCAGCTTCCTTATCCAGGTCCTAGGAAATGGTGCTGAGCATCTAGTCTTTAAGAGAACAGGGTTCTGAGGAGATTCTTGGGATCAGAAAACCTGAATCAGCTTCCTATGACTCCCACCTGGGTCCCTGTTCTGCAGCAGGAGGAACCCAGATGCAGGCTTCTCCCCATGGAGAGAACATCCTTCTAAACGTCTGGGCCTCCATGCAGGGCTCTCTTTGGACTCGAGCTGGGATGCTGTACCAAGGGGCCAGCCACTGGGACCCTGCTTGGTGCACCCCCAACCTCCTGGCCCTGGCCACCAGGAAGTCCTCACACGAGAGAAGGTAGAGGTGTGGGGCTGCTGGTCCAGCTGCCGGGAAGACAGGCAGCTGGGCTGGAAGCAAGACTGCAGCGGCCCTGAGCACTGCCCACTGCACTCTAGCCTGCACCAAGGCTGCAGCAGTACCAGCTCTCCTGGCTGCCCTTTCCCCGCCAACAGCTCACGTCCCTTCACTGTCCGTGCTCCCTAGTTTCCTGCCAGGCAGGAGTGCCGTAGGAAGACACAGATCTTAGGGCTGAGAGACTAAGGAGGGAAAAGGAAGGAGGGCAGATTCAGGCCACGGGTAGCATTAATGTCTCATTGAAACTGCAACATTTGAGCATGCAAGTGTTCAGGGTGGGGAGGCATAGGACAAAAAAAAAAACATTTATTGAGCATTCAAGCAGCTGGCATTCTTGATTGAATTGCCACCCAGCCCGTGGGGGACTATGTGCACCCGTCTGGACCAGGTGAAGGAGAGGAGGCCCGGGCTGCTCCTGGACTCCCTCAGCTGGGAGGTGGTGCGGGCTGGCAGGAAAGCATCTGCCTCCCACAGCCCCTGCTCTGACAGTACCTCCCCCACCCCCACCCCTGTGAGGTCTAAACTGAAGTTTATCTCCTTGTCTCGGTCAGCAGCAGTGAAGACAGCATCAGTGTCGATGGGAACAGCAGGGAACTTTACCAGGGTCCACTGTGTGCCTAACTCCCTGCTGCGTGCTGTGGGACATGCAGCGGTAAAGAGCATGCCGACCATGTTTGCAAGGCACGCACAGCCTCACTGCGTGTAAGAGGCAGGTGGGTACAGAAAACAATGAGCAGAAACACTGGGGGCCACTTCCCTAGTCACTGTGCCCCGCACTTACTGTCCCTTCACTTACACATCCTGCACTTGCTCTGTTCACTTCAGCAGCAATGCTAATTTTTCGGAATTTCATTTCTTTAAGCAGCATCATTTTCCCATGGTCTTTTCCGCAGACTGTAATCAGATCCGTTTCTGAAGGACTCATCCATACACAGCTATACCTGGTCCAATGGGAGCTGTACTTCACTTCGCACCGGAGAAGCCTTTTGTCCCTGGTGACCTTTGTCACGGGCTATGTTTAGAAGGGCTGGGACACTGGGGTGAGTCCAGGGATAGGAGCCACTCCACCTTCATGCTATGTTAAATTTAGCTCTCCAAGCACGATATTTGTCAACCGCACCTAAATGTCCACGCTTGAGTTCAGTGGGCAGGGAGTAGTAGTCCCAAGACACGCGGTTCTTTGTGAGAGCTTTTAGAACCGCTCACAAGAAGGATGTGTGGATTATTTTGGGAGCAAGGCAGAGGTGTCTGTTCTTTTTTAAAAACATTAAGAACAAGCATAGCTATACATGTGACTATACATTAAAACACAAAAGATAAAAAAACTAAAAACCACACAACAAAAACACCCTCCACAAATATCTGAAAGCCAACCCATTTATCCATCCATTTGTTCAGAAAACCAATCCATTCATTCACCCGTTTGTTCAATAAGCATTTATGGACTATTATGTGCTAAGTGTTGTTGTTAGGATCCTGAGATAAAAAACACACACAAAACAAAACAAGAAAACTATATTCCTGCCCTCAAGGATCACACAGGATAAAACAGTGACCAGAGGACCCCAAACACAGGAGTTCTTCAGCCTTCCTTTCTACCAGCTGAGCGAGGTCCTTTAGTCATGGGTGGATAACACTGTCCCCTGACCTAAAGCTTTTGGCTGCTCTCCTTGCCTGCTGCAAACCAGTCCTGCCCATCCATACCTTGCTGGTGTCAAGACATTTTAATCTAATTTTTCTCATCCTCATCCTTCTACACTTAGTCAGAGCCAGTGCCTAGCCTTCAAGATACAACTTAAGTGCCATCTTCTCTGCCTACTTCAGTCCAAATAAACTCAGCTTCTTCCAAGAACAAATTTGTGTATGAGGTTGCTGAGCAAGTGTTGAATCTTTGATAAAATAGAAGAAGGGGCACAAGACCAGAGCTTTACATTTCAAATAGGAAGAGAACTTGAATTCTCTAAGTTTAAATTGGCATCAGTCCTGGGCAAGATCCCTAAACGGAGTAGGAAAAAGATGAGTTGGGGCATTTAGAAATGGGAGTGGGGCACTTGGAGTCCTGGGGGCCACTAGGAACAATTCAGGGTGGACTCAGAGAGTTTTCTTTTGTGATGAGCTCACTTCATAGATATGCAGGGGGAGGTAGGCAAAGCCATGCACAGTTCAATCTGCAATGGAAATTATCACGAAAACCTTTCAGAAAAGATGGAAAAAATATGGGTCTTTCTTTAGGAAACACTTGCTAAAAAACTCACCCTGGAGAAACAATACCCATGGCACCCTTGGAATGCTGGTTCACACCTTGACTATAAAATGCAATCACCCAGATCCCAACCTGAGTAATTCCGGTGTGCCGGGTTGGTGTGATGGCTTGGTGTGACGGTTTGGTGTGACTGGTTGGTGTGACAGGTTGGTGTGATGGGTTAGTGTAGGGGTGTCGAACTCAATCAGAGAAGGGGCCAAAATCTAAAATCCAGCCTAAATCGCGGGCTGAATGGTTTACTGAACAGTCATAAACTGTCATTGTGATGGAAACGCAGCGGAGTGCAGTGATGACAGCGAGGTGCGGGCCACATTGCAAGGCCTGGCGGGACGGATTTGGCCCGCGGGCCTTGTGTTTGACACATGTGGGTTAGTGTGATGAATTGGTGTGATGGTTGGTGTGAAGATTGGTGTGAAGAGTTGGTGTGAAGGTTGGTGTGACGGGTTGGTATGAAGGTTGGTGTGACAGGCAGGAGGGAGTAGCCTGAGCAGCAGGACTGGTAGAAACTCCCCAGATGCTTCTGGCACGCAGCACGGCTGAGAACCATGGCACACAGGGAGGGGCGGAGTCTGATTTCAGGCCGAGCCTGCACAGCCA